TTTTTTTTTTTTTTTTTTTTTTTTTTTTTGACTGGTAAGGGGATCGCAACCCTCAGCTCGGTGTTGTCTGCACCACGCTCAGCCAGTGAGCGCACCGGCCATCCCTATGTAGGATCCGAACCCGCGGCCTTGGTGCTGCCAGCGCCGCACTCTCCTGAGTGAGCCACAGGGCCGGCCCTCAAGATTTTTTTTTAAAGGTGGTACGTATGGCCCGTTACTAAAATCCTTAACCACTCCAGGGTGGTAGTTGACAGTTCTTTGTAAATTTTTACCTGCGTAGCCTTGTCCAGAAGTACTCATTGACTGGAGGAACCAGGAGTAGTAGTAATTCAGGGCAGCGTTAAGCAGGAACTGTCAATGTAGAGTAAGGGCTAAGAGCCAGCCAACCTGGGACAGAGGTTTCCGGGAGCAGTGATTGGGGAAGTGATGAGGAGCCAAGAGCAGTGATGGGTGGGCACCAGGTTCATGGGAAAGCACCTTCTAAAACACTCAAATGCTAGGTGGTAGGGACTGTTGATCAGCTACGTGGTTGCAAAAGAAATGCACAAACATATCTGCTGCCCTTGAGAAGCTCTCGATCTACTTGAGAACTCATATGCCAAAACTGATGATTTATCAACCATACCATGCCAAGGACAAATGTATGCAAATCCAGTTGTTTTTAAATAATGTGATGATTGTAAGCAGGTAAAATACAGATGCTGGAAAGAAAGGAGCACTGGAGAAGCCTGGGGCCACCACAGTCTGGCCCTGCAGCCTTGAACCCAGCCATCCTCTGGGAGGCCCAGTTTTCCCCTCATGGAATAGAGATGATCATCCCTGCCAATCCCAGGGTGATTGTGCAAATCAAATGAGTGTGTGTATGGGAAAGAACTTCTAAAAGCACCTTTGAAGAGATATGAGGGACTATGACTACTCTTCCTGTATTTTACCAGCTACTTGGAGCTCAGTTTTCCCAGAAAACAATTGACCCATCAACAGTAGTATTTGATAACAGTAGTATTTTAAAGTTTTCTTAGGAAATTTTGTGCCCAGGACTCCATTTTATTTGAATTTGTAATTTGTAACTGTAGGCATTTTTTTGGTAGGGGTGGCACTGAAGTGTTTAATACTTTACTAAGTGGATGTTTTATTAATTCTGTGTCACAATTTAGTAACTTTCTAAGAAATACGGTTTGTCAGTGTTAGATGCATGAGCAGCCTGCCTTCAGAATGTTGGTTAGGAACAGGTACTCTTACTGGACTCCGATTTCATTCCCTGAAAAACAGGGTAAAACTTGCATGAATTTGGATTTTCCCAGAGAGCATTGCTGCTGTGGAAACAGGCTGAGAGAACTTTGGAAAAGGTGGAGTCTTTACCCCACTCCTAAGTTAGAGACAAATACTTCAACCACATAATTAAAGTTTTCTTCACAAAGCAGGGGATTATGAGAAGACATTGGCAGGAATCCAAAATTCTAATTTCTGACTATGATTTAATTTCAATTTTAAATAAATCGGTTTTTAATTTAAAAAGAGTGAGCTTCATAACATTAGCAATGATTGCAACATTAAGCCCAGTGTTCACAATCTAGCAATATAAAACATTATTTATATCTGAATCGTAAACAGCCTTTTGAAATGGATTATGGTTTTTCTCCCTATTCTAATACAACCTGGAGGGTACTAAAAAGTGTTGGGTGAAATTAACATTCTGCTGACTTTCGCCTATAAATGAGAAGCGAGCTATTAACATTTGTGTATTTTCATTATGTAAATTGTGTTAACACATGCCCACAAATTGCCACCAGCAATGCAATAATTTTCTCTCAGTGATCATAATGTGTCCAAGTGAGTCATTTTGATTATGACATGCTAATTACATATTGCCTTTTTTCAGATTCAGAAAAACCAGGGATCTTTAATGGTAAGCTTTATGAGTTCAGAAAAAAATTCACTTTTCTTTTTCCTGATGGCTGCTTCCTTTGCATGCTTGAATGCCTTGTTTTAAACTTAGCAAATTGCATTTTGAAGAAAATGCAAACCTTTAACTGCCTGTATTAGATTAGGTACCATTAGAAATAATAGAACATCCTGAGCATCAATGTTTTTATAAGAGTTTGCTGCTGTTGATTAATCTTGCTATATTTTATTGCATTAATGATTTTTTTCTTTCCACTCCACTGTAAAGATATTGCATACAGGCTAATACTTTTTTCTCTCTTCTTTTCCATTGCAGCCTCTCCAGCTTCTGCAGTGCATTGTTGATGAGGTGAGGCATCGTCTTATGTGCTTTCACTCCTAAAGTCATTCCTAATGGTGTGGAAAGCTTATATTTTGTTTCCTAATGAAGCACAATGCCCAACATCCTCGGAGCAAGTTGTGTTGTATGGCTCTGAACTGTGTTACATAAACTGGCCTTGTCCTGAATCCTGCTCTCCTGATTCTGGCCAGGAAACCCTGCAAAAGCAGACTGCCCCACAGGCTGGTCCTCAGGGGTATCAGAGGCCCTAAAGACAAAACACGGGAATATTAATTGATCCTCTCCCTGGCCAGATGGGGATGGAGCCGGAAATTAAAGTGGTATCATTTTTTCCATAACAGATATTTAAAGCCATTCAGTTGACAAGGGTCAGAGTTGAACAGTAAACATAAGCTGGATAAAATTTGCCTTCTTTGCTTTATTTACCCAAAGCATATCAGGGTGAGAAAAGAGTTCAAAAGCTCTAGGTCAACAGTTAAATTTTAACCTTCTAATTAGGGATTTTTCTGAGAATATTCCCCAAACTTCTTGTATATTCTAGTATTCTAGTAAATAAAAACTGGTATTCTTATATTTTAAGTCATCTTACCTCAGTCATCCTTATCCATTGAGTTCCACTGTTCCTTTGCCTTTATGGAGCTAATTTCCATGCATTTCTTTCTCAGCCAACGTTTTCTACTTCTTATTCTGACTTAAAATTCCTTTTTTTTCCTGTAAATTAGCATCTTGTAATACACAAGGCTCTCAAGAAACATTAACATTTTTTAAAAACTGAGCTTTTCTGGGTCTGGGCTTGCCTACTAGCAATGTTTATTTATTTTTTAACTTTAATTTTATAATATTTAAAACACTTGTAATTAGAGAGAGAAGGCGATAAATGATTCAGATAGGAAAGTTTGAAAGAAAAAGACAAACCGTAATTCATAATTATTCCTCTCAATTAAACATCTGTATAACCAGTTATGAGATTTGGGAGAAAAAATAAAGATCCTCCTAGGAAAAAAACAAACACAAACACATATCACAGTAGTAGTAAGAATGGGGCTCTACCATCCTTAATGGTTGCATCAGTCAGTGCATATATCCCCTGCAAGCCATAAACCATGTTGGTGTAGAAATGAAGTCATCGTCCTGAAACAAACGGAGGCTCCATTATCTCAAATATCAGACAGGCCTCCTGGATCTAATAGCTCATCAATATCGTCTGTCATCTTAGATTCCAAAAGCATCCCAGCCCCATCCCAATTAAACTGATTTTCCTGAGATCCCCCTCCAGTTTTGCCTGGGGAAGTGCTCAGGGAAACTTGGCCTACCCCATTAAATGCACAGCCTGCTTTCTTTCCTGGGCTGTACTATTCTTGGTCTGCCAGGCTCCTGGACACCACAACATTCAGGTACAGATATTTCACACCAATAATATCTGTATTGCTGGAGAGCTAATTTGAAGATTTGCTGGGTCAAATAGGTATTTTTATTTCTTGTGATTAAAGTAGCAGTGATTGTTGTTAAACTTAAAATATTTTGCTTATTTAATTTGGGCAAAATCGTGAGACTTTTGAAATTATCAGAGGGAGATGTTCAGTCTATGGGGAGAATGTTGATAAAGGACAATAGCATGTAACTTAAATGGTATGTTTTTCTTTATAACATTTCTTCCTCTGACAAGAGAAAAATGTAACTTAGACACCTATCCCCACTTACTCTAAAATCTTTTTAAAATATCTTACTTATGGAAACTTGGGAAATTAACATTGTCTTTACTAAAATCAAGTTGATCTTAAAAGTAAGATGATGTTCTGCAGTAAGAGTATTAGGGAAGGATTGGACAGACGACCAGCCTTAGGCGACGTTCATCATAGCATCTAAGAAAGAAAGGATTGGTGGGGTCCTGTATTTACTGTGCTTGACCCATGTGTTTGTCAGATTTCTCATTGCTGTGATGTAATATTCCTCATAGAGGGGTTCAAGGATTAACTGCATCAGAATTACTTAAGGCTTTTGTTAAAAATGCAGATTCTTGGGCCCAGATAATGGATTTAAACTTTCTAGGGGTGGTTCCCAGGATCTAGTAGCTTCCCAAGAAACTCTGTGCACATTAAAGTTTGAGAACCTCTTCTATGATGGCTTTTTGAGGCTAAGTCTGCCCTTTTAGGTCCCCCGGGGCAATTAACTATCTTATCTTCATTTGTATCTGACTTTTAGGGCTTCTGTTCTTGCATGAATATAACAAGCCAGGATTTGAGTCATTTTATTCCTTGGGTATGGGATTTACCCCATTATAAAATGGATATCTGATGCTAGTATGTACTATTTCCTGTTAGAGTAAAATCACATCAAAAAGTACTACTACTGGGCTGGCCCGGTGGCGCACTGGAGAGTGCGCCACTTGGGAGTGCGTCGGCGCTCCCACCAAGGGTTCAGATCCCATGTGGAGACCGGTTCCCGCTCACTGGCTGAGCGTGGTGCGGGCGCAACACCGAGGGTTGCGATCCCGTTGCCGGTCCCCAGTACGGGCTCAACACCAAGGGTCGCGATCCCGTTACCGGTCAGTAAAAAAGACAAAAAAAAAAGTACTACTACTAAGGAAGCTTAATTCAAACAAGATGGGTACATTTGGAGTCGTGTACAAAATAGCGATAGCAAGGCCCAGTGTAACATATTTTATTGTTATGTGGATTCAGCTTGACTTCTTGTCATGGCCTGGCAAACAGTGAAGAAGTAGTAAAACAAGACCAAGGTGGGCAGGAGCCAGTCCTAGAGTGACTGGAGGTGAATGGTAGAGCCAGTCTGGGAGTCAGGAGGTAGATGTAGGACAAAGCCAGAATTAGCCACCAGATGGCCAAACAGAAGACACCAAAAACTAGACAGAGGAATAAGAATCTTGAACATGAAACTTGGACCAGTGATCAGGAACTGGAAGGGTAGCCAAAACAGGAGAACTGAGCTGCAATCACAAATCTGGGCGATCCAGTTTAATTTGGTGGGTGGAGATTATCTGGCTTGGAACCACCTAACTCAAGATGTGAGTGATGTCTTAAAGACACCGTCTGGTGCCTCAGAGTTGCTTTTCTCAACAGAACTTCTTATCTTAAGATCCTTACGTGATCAGAGCCTCCCCAAGTCCCTGAACACCTGCATTGTAAAGTGCTTTGGTTCATTGTAAGTGGTGTGTATCTATGTGTATGTACCTGATGCCTTAGCTGTCTGATATCTTTGGGGAATGAGGTGGCCCCTATTGTCTAGATAACTGAAGTTTATTACTTTAAGCCCTGACATTTATAAGAAAATCTGCATTTTCAGAAATGTTTCTAAAATGTATTTGTTCTGGGCAGCCTATTGACAGAGTGTGGTGAATGTCATTTAACCTTTTCTCAATGAATCAGGTCCTTGTTTTGAACATGGTACTGAACAAAAGTTTGATATATTGGTGCCCTCTAGGGCTGTACAATTGTGCGGGGTTTACCTTATTCTTCCTCTGAATTTTACCAACCATTTTGCGTGGGTGTTTGGTCTTGACCCTCAATGATGTTCTTGGGCCTCTTGAAGTGTACAAAGCCTTTTGTCCCCAGGCTAAATAGCCCTACATGACTGTCCTTGCTCTGCTTGCTACTATACCTTTATCCTCTCTTGTGATTGCCTCTATTCTCCATGGTCTCTTCTCATTCTTATCAGTGACTACCTGTTGTCCCAACAATCTGACCATCTGTCTTCAGTCTTTGCACTCCTTATAGTGACCCAAGCAAAACTAAAAGGTATCAAAAATGAAATCAGATACCCAAGTGGTATGTGTAAGGTCAAACAGGCTCTTCTGAAAAGGGAGATAGAGGCTGATACCCTTCTTTAATGAAGTGACATGGGTGGGCTTGTGTTAATTCATTCAGCAGATAGTTATCAAGCACCCACTGTCTACTACCCCAAGTTGAGCAGTCCATGGTCAGGACAGCCTCCAAACAGAGAGAACTGGGCTTTTAGGCAGGGCACCCAGACCAGCTGCAGACCAGGTCTGTGAGTCAGGGTGGAAAGGTGCACAGTCCCACATCCTGGGCCATCACTTGTGCTGGGACTCAGGAGGCTGCATAGCCCTAAAGCTCTCCCGAGTACCTGGGCTTCTACAGTGGCTAGTAACAAAAGGCTGGCCACGTTGGTGTTGTGGCAGGTGGGAATAAAGCAGTTATGTCTGGGTCACCAGATCCCACGCTGGCTGGAGCCAGCTAGTGGGGGCTGTCAGTGGGTTGAGGTGCTGAGAACTACAGAGCCTCAAGTGGGGACCTTGCCCTTCAGCCTGCTCCTGGGTAGTCCACAGCCTTGGAAAAGAGATGGACACTGAAAGGAATAATTATGGTTCAGTGTAGGATGAATACTATAGAATCGAGAGATAGGAGAGTTTGTTCTGCCAACACTGGAGGTGGGTTAGCAGAGACCCCTTAGCAGAGGTGACATTTAAGGGAAAAGTAGGAGTTTCTTAGGTTAAGAAAGGAGGAAAGTAAATGTCAGACAGAGGGCTTGAAACTATATTGTGAATCATTTTTGAGTTCACAGATGTGTTTCAGAATGTTCAGGTCATCTAAAATATGACTACCAGAAAATTAGATTATTACTCTGAGTATATATATGTTTCAAGCATATTACAGCTAAAAATTAATTCCCATCTAGCATCTGTAGGTGCTCAGCAGAACAATTAACAAATCCCTGATTTATACTTCTGCTTATTTGTTCATTTTATCCATAAAAAGTGAATTCACTTAAGTCATGTTTTATACTTGATCAGAAGTAGCTTCTGTATGAAAGTGTTGATTTCTTAGTAAGAACTACAAGACCTGTAAAATCCTGAAATATAAGCACAAACCTTTTTTTTTTAATTGAAAAATAATTGATTGTAACTATTCTGGGTACAGTGTTGATTATCAGTATTTTTGTACAATATGTGATGATCAAATCAATATTATTAGCATATTCATTATACAAATGGTAATTATTCTTTGTGTCCCTTACCCAATTTCTCCCTAATC